ATTCATGTTTCCCAAATCATATAACCATTCACAAAGCTGGTCAAAATTTATGGACTGGTGTGTTGTGGGTAACATTATTTCTACTAGAAGAACGTTTTTATGTAGCACCCAGCAGAATACAGTTAATAATGCATTGCTTAGCATTTTGAATAATTTTAGCAAAGGAATAATTTTAGCACTATAAACTTACTTGAGACAACGGTTTCCCCTACAGACCTTCTTTATGGCACTGCTCATAAATGCATTACATATCTTGTTGACATACCTCTCCAGCTTTCTTTTCATAGTAAATATAAAGCAAAATTAAATAAATGAAAAAGGTGTTTTCCTCAGTGAAAAATTTTGAGGTGTTGACAGAATGCATTCTATAAAAGCTCTTTCAACTGAAGCTTATTTAATGTACCTGGTTTGATTGGAATTCATTGTAGAGAGTTGTCAAAAGCCTGTGTATTTCTAGTCTTCTACTTAAGTTCTCTACATGGTTAAATTATCTCTTTCTTCTGCTTGATTCTCTTTGACTTCTTTTTTCTCAAACCTGATTGACCAATACTGTGCTCTGATAAATATATTTAATAGAATACTTCCTTAATTATACTGAAAAATGTATCCTCTAATGTGCCTTACGCTTTCACTTCTTTTTCACAGATAGAAAATGCTGGCAGTTCATAGACATCCTACGTTCAAACTCTTGTCATCTTCCTTCTCAATTTTCAGCTGACAATTCTGCTGACAAAAACATTTGTTTATTCAATCGCAAACTGCGTGACTTTACATCTGTAATACACATATTTAATTTTATTTCTATTACCATTATTCTCAAGATCATCAAGTTCTTTCTACGTTGTTCCTAAACATTGCTTGATGATGTTTCCAGCATAGTGTCTTTGGCAAATTTCATTATTATGTTTCTAATATCCTTGCCAAGATCACTAATGAAATTATTAAATAACAGTGATCTCTGGGCTCAGTTTTGATCTGTTGGTAGCCAGTCTGCTACTTTTTAGTACTTTTTTATTTGCAAGCTGTTTTTTCACCTTATAGTTCCACTATTAATCTCTGGCCTTTTTCCCCATGTAATATTTCCAATGTTGTACCACAGTAAAGATTTTACTGAATCACAGAATATTTAGGGTTGGAAGACACCTCTAGAGATGCAGGATCAGCTAGCACAGGTTACACAGGAACATGTCCCAGGTGAGTTTTGAATGTCTCTAGAGAAGGAGACTCCACAATCTCCCTCAGCAGCCTGTTCCAGTCCTCTGCCCCCCTCAGTGTAAAGAAATTATTCCTCATGTTGAGGTGGAACTACTTTTGTTTTAGTTTGTGGCTATTGTTCCTTATCCTGTCACTAGGCACCACTGAAAAGAGTATGGCACCATCATCTTGACATCCACCTTCGAGATATTTATATGCACAGATGACATCCTTTCTCAGTCTTCTCCAGACTAAACGGGCCAAGCTCCTGCAGTCTCTCCTCATAATGGAGACTCTCCAGATCCCTAGTCATCTTTGTGGTCTTCCACTGGACCCACTCCAGTAGCAACTTGTTTTTCTTGAACTGTGGAGACCAGTGCTGTGGAGACAGTACTCCAAATGTGACCTCACTAGGGCCAAGGGGAGAGGGAAGGTCACCACCCTCAACCTCCTGGCCACACTCTTCCCAATGCACCCCAGGATACAACTGGCCCTCCCAGCTGTAAGGGTACACGACCAGTTCAATTTCATAGTGAAATTCAGGTTGATTTGGTTTATCACCTTCCTTTTTTCTCCCCCCTTGCCCCTCCCCATGTAACAATGATTTTATTGAAGAATGTTGTGGTATTAATCTGTCATAATTTACCTTTCCAAACTTGTGTTGCACATTCTCCCAGTTTCTGTATTCCTCTGTGTATCATCTTCTTCTTCAAAGTTTTCTCTATAGTCCAGAAGCTTAAGTCGTGCTGAGATCAAACTTACAGACATATAATGGCTCAGATCATAATTTTCTTGGTTGCAAGACAAGATACAAAGTTTTCAGCTTCTTCATTCAATAATACCTTCCTGACATCATGAAATTACAAAAATCATCTGCTATCAAGACTGAAATTCCAGTTTTCTATCACCTTTATGACTTAAGTGCCTTTTCTCTGCTCCTCTCAGCAAACCCTGTGTTTGCAAGCGACTTGCTCTTGCTATTGCTATGATCCTCTCACTTGGCAAAATCTTGTTAGTTCTGGTACTTTTTTTCCCCAGGACATTTTTTTTTCAGCAGAATCAATCTCCCCTTGCCTCTGAAGAATTTCACTTTGTCTAATACGTTCCACTTTTAAAAGCATGGAACATAGAAACTGATAAAAAAGAAATAAGAAAAATTCACCCCTCTGCAATACAGATCCTTGATAATATTATGACATTTATCTTTAGGAAATTCCAAACAACCTTGTAAAATCAAGGTCCACTACTCTACAACCTCAAAGATTTTAATTATCATTTTCTCTTTTAAGTTTGAACACTTTAGGTTTGGCTTTATTTTAATTTGTTTCAGTGTTCTTAATATATTTGTTTTCACTTATTAGCCTTTCAACTCTGTACTATCCCTAAAATAAAGAGTTGGTTTTGGTTCTTTGGTTTACTGAAGAAACGTGTAGACTCTTTTCTCCTTGAATATATGGGCAATTATTGAAAATATTTCTCAATTTGAAGCTTAATTAAAATTAGGATTAAATTTAAAAGCAACCTGTTAAGCTTAATGGGGAAACCTCTCAGCTCTCCAGTTGGATTTCTCTCTCTCACACTATTATGTGTTTTGTTTCTGCCCATTTCTCCTCTTCAGAGCAACCACATTATTGTGAAATTTCTTTTTTTTTTTTTTTTTTGCTAGTTTAGATCAATGTTATCTGTAGAACAACCTGTGGAAAATACTGACATAGCCACTTAAAACAAACTATAAATGACTCACTTTTTACAAAAATGGTAAGCACAGACAAATATGAAAACAATAAAAGCAATAAGTTGAAACCCAAATACATTTTACAGAAAAATCATACCTTAGTGAAATGACTGCATGAACATTTTTAATCATCTGAAACCCAACTATTAAAGACTAAGCAAGCTCTGGAACAAAATTAAGTCTTACAGAAATACTTATGTCTGTGCCACGGTCCGAAAGGGGGATGGGGCCGTGACACAGCGCGGGATCAGGACACAAGGTAGGATGCAGGTAGAATCATTTATTGAGGCGTGCACCAGATTCTTTGTCAGTTCAGGCGGGAAAAGGGCCAGAACATGGGATGGGGCATGAGACAGACAAACGGGGGAGCAAATCAGGATAGGGGCACAGGCAAAAGAGGGAGGAACGTGGGAGGAACCGGGGAAGGAAAGGGCGAATGGAGGCTGTCTCCTCTCTGCAGCTTCTCCAGCCAGTCCGCAGGAAAGCAGGGAAGTGGACAAGCCTGAACATGCCCGGGAGATACAAATTCTGGGGAAGCATACAATGTGTATGTACATAATTGTAAAGTCTGCATCATAAAGTCCTTTCAATTGGTGTACATCTTTTTCCACTTCTGAAATTTTCCCATTCTGATTCCTGGTCCTTCACATGTCTGTTTTGGGCTTTAGGGGTTGGTTAGGTTTTTTGTTGGTTTCTTGTTTGGTTTTTCTACTTTATAGCTATGAAATAAGTGCTTATTTGGTATGAATATTAGGAATAACAGTATACTTTTAATAGAGGTCATTACTAGTCTTATTAGACATTTCGGACAAATGAAATAATGGGTCTATACAGAAATTGATTTCTATGTGTTTTTTCAACTATAGTCTTTCTTTAATGCAGTCTTCTGTATTGAGCTTTTTGAGCTTTCAAAAAAAAACTTTTTAAAGTCTAAATATTCAGTGTATAAAAAACGGAAGAATTGGTTCACTTCTTTAGAGGTAAGATTAGTAAAAATATGTTATATCTTACTATAATTGTTGGGGGAAAAAAACCAAACCCAAAACTGTAATGCTCAGCTGGCTGCTTACTTACCTTGATACCCTAATTGCCTTATGGGCTGTTGTTGGTTGTCTTCTAATACTTCATGGGGATTATAAGGATATAGAATTTCTTTATGACACACATGGACCTTTTATTTTGTTGTAGAATAACCCTTATACCTGCCACTCAAAAACCAAAAAAGGTAAAACTCCAACTGAAAACATTTAGGAACACAGTCACACATATGAAGTCTGTACTTTCAGACTGAGAAGGGTATGGATAATAGACTCTGTTAATAGATTATCATTATTCAAGATCCTCCTATAACCATACCACTAATCACAAAAACCACTGCTATCATTGTTACAGCATTAGGCATTATTCTGGCATTAGAATTATCAAAACTCACACACACCTTCTCTACCCCTAAACAAAATACCGCTACAAACTTCTCCAGCACTCTAGGATATTTTAACCCCCTTATACACCGCCTCAGCCCCACTAAGCTCTTAAACAACGGCCAGAACATTGCATTCCATTTAATCGACCTATCTTGATATAAAAAAATAGGCCCTTTCTAATCATTCTATCTGGAGAATTTTTGGCAATTTTGTGCCAGAATTCATAAGTATTCTTCAAAGAAAATAAATGGGAACACTAAAATTCTTCCTATTTTCATATTAGGAATATGAAAAAGCTAAGTTAGAAATAACCTGGAAGGGTAGCTTTCAAATTCTACTTGAACAAGGTAAGGTGAAAACCAAACAACAAACAGCCCTGAATCTAGGCATCTAGTGCTTCCTTTAAATTCTAAGATTACTAAGTATTAAAAATTACTACAATTCCAAAAAAAAGAATCTCGGCATGTTGAATTGATGAAAGCAACACTTTAAAGTGCTTTTATTTATCATATATCTCATTGTAATTTATAAGCTAGTAAATATTTGCAATGCTTGTTTTATGTTATATCCAGTTATTGGTTCTTCTTAAGCATTTCAACAACAAAAGTATTTATATTTTTTTTTTCTTTCACAGCTGAAAGCAAAGCAAAAGGAACACCTGACACGAATCCCTGTGGTAATTACTGACTTCTAATTCCTTTTTTTTTCAGTCCAGTCCTTCCATTTCACTACAGATGATATCGTTATGCCATTACTTTAATTATAATATTCAATATATTATCAAAATGAAAAGTCAGTATATTCTTCCCAAGAGCTATAACTCTGTAGATTACATGTCTGAGGTTCTGACAAATTTTTAAGCATACAATAGTTAAAGATTACCATTTGGGAATTAATGATTTACAATATATATATTTGTGGCTGAAGAGAAGGTTTTCTTTGCTTTTTTTTTTTCCGTATTGTGTATGCACAGTTTATGTTTATGAATGAGTTTTAAACAAATATTATTAATACACTGAAGAAAAACTGAAAAGATATAAATTGCTCTTATTTTAGCTGTTTGGGGCTAAATACCCAAAATACAGCCTTTTAAGAGAGTAGGTTTTTAATAGTCAGACCTTAGAAGCTGTTGATAACAGTATGAATTACACCATGGAAATATAGGCTTCTTTACCAACTTGTCTTTACTTGTTCTACTGTATTCATTTTTGTATTGTTACACTACTGAGTTAGGATTTCCTATTAGGAAAGTTCAGGGCAAAACTGGGTGCAAAACCACAAGGCTACCTCTGTTAATTAGAAGGAAACATGCAGACATAACTGTGGATCAGAAAGTATTAAAAACTATCCCTTGAGAAAACCTTTTAAGTGAATGAAAGGAAAAAAAAGTAAAACAACATAACTTTCTTTATGGATTTTCTTATTTAGATTTGGCTATTGGGACACTAATGGAGAATACATAAATAACTACATGAGTGGTACTATGAGATTCCTAGAATACCTGTGTTTAGTGAGAGAAATTAGTGACAAAGAGAGACTGAAATAGAAGTGTAGTTGTATTTTTTTATTTTTAACTGAATCTTCTGTTTTACTTCCACACGAACTCCACTATTTGACATCTCTCTGTTGGAAACAGTACAAGCTACTCTTATTTCAATGCAGTTACTTGAGCTGAGAGGCCTCTTACCTCTGAAAGCACTGAAAGTCTTTATGTAGCATATGTTCTCTGACTGAAGATGTCTTATCTGATGATTTGTTTATTACTTCTTTTAACACTTCTCACTGTAATACCTGTCACACTTTTCATAATTAATTTAATCTGATGACATTTGCCAGATATAGGAAAATAACACCATATCTAACCAGGTAAATCTTAAACACTTTTTATTTTTACTAATTTCTTTTCCCCTCCTGACTCTCGTTGGGGCAACCACAGCAGAATTCACCTCACCTAACCTTAGACTTTTTACACTGATTGTTTAATCTTAGCTCCATCTAGAGACAATGAAAAGAGAGAGAAATGCTTTAGAGAGTAATTTCTTTTGCCTATTCTTGTAGTTAGGGTTGCTTCTCTCTCATTGGTAAGAGGAAGATACCTTTAAGCTACATAAATATGTGGTTCATCAACCTTGGCTCGCTGCCAGGCTACACCCAGCTACTGTCTTAAAGAGGACTAGAAGAAAATAAGATGCAAAAACTTGGGACAAGGATGGGGAGATCACTTATCAATTAATGTAATGGGCAAAGTAGATTCAAGTTTGAGAAATTTAATTTAATTTGTTGTCAGTTAAAATAGATTTGGATAATGAGAAGCAAAGAACAGTATTACCCCTCCACCTTTACTTTTCTCATGATCAACTTCACTCCTTCATTCCCAACTCCTCTACTTCCTCTCCCACCCCAAATGACACATATCAAGCCACCCACAACAGCTCCTCTCTGCCACTTCTTCATCCTCAAGCTTTTCCCTCACTGTAGTCTGAACTCTTCGTTGTCTGCAGTCCTTCAGGAATATCTAACTTCTCTGGGGTGGGGTACTCCATGTGTATGCATATCTGCTTCACCATGGTCTCCTCCACAGGCTGCAGGTACTTCCTTCCACTCTTTCTTCTCTGACCTTGGTGTCTGCAGGGTTGTTTCTCACACTTTTTGTTCCGTCAGATGTTTTATCCCTTTCAGTAAATACATTTTCCCCTGAGGTGCCCCCACATCAGCCGTGCCCTGCACTTGGTGGATTGGAGCCGGCTAGAACCATCTGTGTCTGGCACAGGGTAGATCCAGCCTCTCCTCACAGAGCCCCCCTGCAGCCCTGTACAACGCAATATCTTGATGGTTAAAGATAGGTAACAGGAAAAATTTCCAAGAGATAGAATACTTAAAAATGTAGGAGATGGGCTGATTTTGTGGAGGGGACTTTTAAGGACCGTGGAACTATACTTACATGTGTATAGCACATACACAGGCCCACAAGACTCTTATTCAACCCATTTTAAAAGTTTTGGCCAATACATTTATTTTGCATGTAGCTGATTGTTCATATTCAATTTAGATGTGTATTTTCTTTTTAAAAAATTATTATTTATTGATTTAAATATTATTTTTTTCGTAAATTAATTGTCCTTGGATTGGTTTAACAGTCAGTTTCAGGAGTTCAATACTCAGTTTTTAAGGTTCAGAACATAGACCTTAGACAAAATTTTAGTATATAGACTTGATTTATTTGGATGTCAAATTAATAACTGAATTGTTAAAGATATTAGGAAGAAATTCTTTACTTTGAGGGTGATGTGACACTCGAACAGGCTGTCCAGAGAAGTTGTAGAAGTGATCAAGGCCAGGTTGGATGGAGCTCTGAACAATTGGGTCTAATGAAAGGTGTCCCTGCTGATGGCAGGGAGGTTAGAACTAGGTCATAATATCATACAATCAATAAAGCTGTAACAGGCCTTTAAGATCATGAAGTCTAACCATTAACCTAACGCCGCTGTGTTCACTGCTAAACCATATCCCCAACTGCCACAGCCACACACCTTTGGAACATTTTTTTTCATAATAGCTAACCTAAACCTCCCCTATAGCAACTTGAGAACATTTTCTATGATCTTTAAGGTCCCTTTCAACTCAAAACATTCTATGATTTCATGATTCTATGATGTCTACAGATTAACAAAGCTGGTACCACTAATACAGTTTCTTCAAATGGAATGGAAAAACACACAAATTATTGTCAGAAATATAATTAATATATATTATATAGTAGTTTGACCTCTTTAGAGTTTCTGATATAAACAGAATATTAAAATTCACAGTTGGTGACTAGTACATGCAAAATTATGGTATAACCTGTTGCCTGTTAAAGACCTGCACAAAAACATGTTTATCTAACTAGTTTCTGCACATCCTGAAGAAGGATGTTTCCAGTATAAAAACATCTCAGAACTCAAAGTCAGCTAAAATATTTAAAATAACTTAAAAAAAAATAAAGTATCTGTGGGAAAGAAGACACTGATTAAAATATCCTCCACTGACTGAATAAAACAAAATTTAATTATTATTAATTATTTTAAAATATTTAATTTTTTTGACTGTAGTAATCTCAGAAAATATCCCAGACTAATTCTCGTGTTAGTTTCAAATCTGATTAAGAATATTTAATACAATTCTTCATTTTTGTTATGGAAGATGTCAAATAAATAACAAATTCCTTGCTTTGTTGCTAGTATATTTGCTAAGGAAGGCTGGTGATACCAACTCAAGGTATAAAAGCATTTGATATATCCCTCTGGAGTTTTTTACTCATCTCTTCTGTCTTTAAAACAGTCATAGGATTGGATGTCTTAGGGAATGAGTAATCAGCGTCAGAGTCCTTTCTTGCTTTCCTACTAATACAAATCTTTCTTGACTTGTTAGCAAAGGTTGTTACTAGATAACAATTTGATTGAATATGCTTATTTGTTTAACTTATTTGTGATCTCAGACTATGGCACACCCTCACCTATAAAATTGTTCCATTACTAGTACTACCAATAAAGTTGTTGTGGATTGAAAGGGTATAGATACAGAGCTGATTTTTTTTCCTCTCAGTCTCATAGGACAGTGTGGGAACCTTATGCTGCAGCTCCCCATGGTGCAAATAGAGTGTAATTATTTTCTGCAAATGACAGGAGAATGTTTCCAAGAATGTGAAAATTCACCTGTTTTAAAGTGCAGAAGGGCAGTATGTTGGAGGGAGCTCTGACAGCAGAGGGTAGAACAATAGCATTACAAACATGTCAGACTTGAAAGGAGCTACATTAACAAGTCAATCTCAAGCAAGTAACCTCCTTTGGGAAGACTTTCTGAAAGTAGGAGTGCAGTTAGCAGTCTAGTTGTGTCACTTCTCGTTATACATTTTTTTAAGCAGCCGACTTGGTCAGAAACATCCTCATTAACTTTATTTTCTATTTTCGGCATGCATTTATTATAGCTGATTTACTCCATTCAGCTTAATATGCCTGCTTTTAATTCATTTCTTGACTTTGCAACCAAGACAGTAGCTGAATGTTTTCTGAACGTTTGTGTGATGTGCATATCTCCTTTGTCTAGGTTGACAGCCATATTCTCTGAGAATTCCAATGAGTTAGGTAAGTCTTTACCTCCCTTGTCTCTCCTTAGGCCATTTTAAAATAATGGCATTATGTTGGCTGCTCTCCAGTCATCTAAGATTTCACTTGATCTATTTTGAAGAGCAGAAGTACATAAAAATGTCTGCCAAAGCATCTTCAATTTCTGTTCTTATTTCCTTAACCCTTTTGGACCTATGCTGTTTGGTCATGGCCCAATAAATTTTAGAAGCCATTTCACCTTATAATAACCATACTGACACACTCTGTCCATATCCTAATTCCTAATCATCCATCTCCATAAATATGATTTCAGATGTAGTCAAATACCTACTCTTATCCTTTATAAGGCCATATATAACCATTACATAGTGTATCCTCAATCCGCTTACACTCTTTCTAGGGGATAGGTTGCAATACGAAAGTTTCTTTTAACAGTGAGCGTGTGTCCAGAGCTCAGGACTGGGCTAGAGAATTAATCATAATTCAGATTTTCAATTAATTTTCTGTTTCTTTCCTGCTCTAGGGAAGAAGCAGCCTGCAAATGAATTACAGCTGATAGTTGTTTGCTTCTTCACAACAACTTGCTGACCCAGAGACATCGTTCTCCTCAATGACCTGCAGTCTGCAGGTTTGCAGCCTTGTCAAGGAAGCAAGAAGTACTCAATATTTCTTTGTTTCTCTGCATAAGCATGTCAGAATCATCATAATTAGCTCCTGAAAGGACCTCAAGAAGTTATGTAGTCTGTCTTCTCATGCTAGAGTAAAATTGTGTTTTCTACTCTTAATAACCTTTGGTTATGGAGATCCCATAACCACCTTGAGCAATCTGTTCAACGTTTATTTAAACTTTAGGTTTTCAACTTCACCCTAATTTTTTATATAATTCTTAGAAAAAAGATTAAAAAATAATGTATGCTACTGCACACATTACAGCAGTTGAAAAACCTCTTAATGTTTCTGTGTGTGAGACACTGATTATGCCTAACAAAAGTCTAGAGACAGAGCCTGGGGCTGATCCTAAACACTTACAAGATCTATTTGATGTGATTTGTCCCACAGAAATCAAGATGACAGCTGATTATAAATATTTTATGTTGTCATCTACCAACATTTTTTAGCTGTAAAAGCTTTCAATATTGAGCAGTATGCTAATTCTGAGGTACTTTTATGAATGCAACACTGATCCTAGCTGGATCACGTGCAAGAAGTGAAACTAGAGCCTTTGAATTTAACAGAAAAGGCTGTTACTATCTTTACTAAGTCACATTCTTATCTTTATCCAATTGAAAGAATTGTATTAGGAAATCTCTCTCTGTGTCTTCTCTTCCTTATCACTGGACAAAGCCCAAAATGATGTTGACATGACTGCTTCAACCTAATGCTAGATATTTAAAAAAACCCCAGAGCAATAAAACTCTGTGATCCAGAAACCAGTCGATATCATATAGTGTTCTATACCAAATAATGATCCACTGTGAAATGTCAATCATGGAATCTCACACTGAGAAAAAGGTTCACTTCAGTTAATTCCCTGAGACCACAGGCCGAGACTGAACACCTTTGCAGGTACAACAGGTCATCTGGAGAATGCTGACTCATTACTCTGCTCTAATCTTTGTGTTTATTTTTTGAAGAACTGTTATTTGAGTTTCATTAGGCTCAATGAAGATTTTGACATTTAAAATTTAAAGAGTGGAATTCAAGTACTGATTGAGGGGACCTCCTTTTGAGTGTGTTGGTCATTCTGTGACCATTTAAAGATAATTTTTAATATCAGAAGAGGTACCCTGGAATTCCACACTTTCTAAAGACACTAACCATTTATAAAATCTGCCTCTGTCTCTAACATTAAAGATACTAATGGTTACTGAGCAGGCAAACCATGATGTCCCATTGTTAAGGTAGGGAGAGGAAGTTATATTGAATTATATATACTAAAAACATGACCTAAATTCTTCTCTTTCCTTTTTTGCTGATTACAGCTGATAAAAGTATTTTTTTTGAGTTTTTACCCCACTTTTTTTACTTGTTCATGTCTTTTGCTATGTTGAGTCCTGGAGAAGAGAACTACAGTAACATGCTCTTTTGTCTTACCTTGTTCCAATTGCAACTTTAGTCATGTAAGTCTGTATAACTGACCTTTATATTACATTGCATTGCAAATTGCAGCCTAAGTCATTGTTATGCTTCCCAATTATATGCTGGAAATAAGTTGTCATACTTGAAGAAAAATAATTCCAGGAAAACAGAGCCCTATCAGAACTCACAGAGTACTAGCCATATTGTCATTTGTTACGTTAAAATTTTGACAGGTGCATCTCAAAGGCAAGTGTATCAGCCCAAACGTACCAAGAAATTTATATGATCATACACATCACGTGATTGCACTCAAGATAATCTGTTCCATAACCTTTCCTGGCACTGAGGTCAGGCTGAGAGGCCTATAGTTCCCCAGATCCTCCTTCTGACCCTTCTTGTAGATGGACATCATATTTGCTAACATTCAGTCCAGGACCGCTGGTAAATATCTGGAAGTGGCTTGGAGAGCACTTCCACTAGCTCCTTCAATACCCTTGGATTGTTCCCATCTCACCCCATAGACTTATGCATGTCTAAGTGGTGTAGGAAGTCACTGACCATTTGCACTTGGATTATGGGGTATTCATTCTGTTCCCCATCCCTATTTTCCAGCTCAGGGGGATGCATACCTGAAGAACAACTGGTCTCACTATCACAGACTGAGGCAAAGAAGACATTAGATACTTCTACCTTTTCCTCACCCTTTGTCACTATGCTTCCTCCTCCGCAACCAATAAAGGATGGAGATTCTCCTTGCCCTCCTTTTGTTGCTGATGTTGCTAATAGAAACATTTTCATTGTCTTTCACAGTAGAGCCAGATTAAGGTCTAGCTGGGCTTTGTTCCTTCTAATTTTCTCCCTGGATAATGTCACGACATCCTTGTAGTCCTCCTGAGCTGCCTGGCTCTTCTTCCAAGTGTCATAAACACTTTTTTCCTCTGAATGCCAGACAAGGCTCTCTGGTCAGGCAGGTCAGTCTGTCCCACCAACTCATCTTTTTGGGATATAGTGATGGCTGCTCCTGCACCTTTAAGATTTTCTTCTTGAAGAATGTCCAGCCTTCTTGGACCTTCAGGACTGCCTCCCAGATACTCTGTTGGCCAGACTCCTAAACAAACCAAAGTCTACCCTCCAGAAGTCCAAGGTGGCAGTTCTGCTCACTCCTGGCCTCACTTTGACAACTAAAAATTCTGTAATTTCATTAATGGTATGCCCAAGACATCCTCTAACCATCCAAGATCACTTAGGACTAACTGACGTGCTTGATTTTATAGACAGTGCTCAATGTGCTGTTATGCTTCTTTGTTCTTTGCTGTGGTCATCAACAACACCTCTTTGGCCAAGTGCCTAGGACCTGCAAGGCTGGTGAGGAAGGGTGTAGTTGGACTGGCACTCAGGAATCTTGAGACCCATATGGAGTAGAAGAAGAAATATTGTTTATTTTTCTAGTTGGCTCACAGGAAATGAATGCATCACCCACTCAGCCATAGAGAATGGCTGTTTGCTTTATAAAATAATATAAGTTATGCTAACCACATTACCAGGGGTGGGGAGCAGGGCAATACCGGTCACATATGGTATCTCCTCGGGCCCTAGGATTGATGAAACCTATTTTCTTCAGTAAGAAGGCACAAATTATAGCAAATTACCATCCCAAACTCTTTGCCAGGAGGAATCTTATGCTTAAGGTAATGATTTCTTCTTCTTCATTTGGATCATGTTGAGATCAATTTTATACTTTTTTTGATAGTAAAATCTGCTTATTTTTTATTTTCTTTATTATCTTGCAATTTGTTATTATATCTGAATTTACTATATATGTTCTGCTTTAAATATGTTGGATATTTGTTCTTTGTTGTGTTTCTTACCTCTGTAGCAGGTTTTATTTGGTTGTCAAAAATCAGACTATCAAAAGATAACATTATCTTGTCTTGGACCATTACATATTGTGGACTGATAGTCGCTGCTCACTTCTTAATAAGAAATGATTAGTCATAGCCATACATAATATAAATAAAGATTTTAATAGTAAATTTGGCAGTGGTTAATAGTAGCTGGATGACTTCCCTATTTACAGTACACTGAGACACAGATTATTATTACTGCTTGTAAATAATTGATTGTAAGCTAATTGATGTCATGTGGTAAAGTGATTTTTTTTCCCCTGAAAGAATAAGCATATGATCATCTTCATAGGAATCTGAAATTCATTTGGAAACTAACTAACGAGAATTTTGTTGTAATGGGCTGGATTAGCTGCTAGTTCTTAAAAAAAAAGAATTTTACTGTGACAAGACTTTAAAGGTTGTTGGGACTAGGTGGTAGAAAGACAAAATAAATAATAGTAGTGGGCATTATTTCTGTCTTATTCACTTATCTCTAAAATGAACCAAATATGAGATTATGCTTTTTTGACTTATTTTAATGAGTTGATAGCATGATTGACAGTCTATATACTTTTTTTACTATCTTTACTGAATGAGGAAATCTGACAAAATTTGTCATATAAATCATATTTAAGTCATAAAACATAACATTTGCTCCTTCAAGATTTGTGTTGAAAAGACTGAAAGGATTATGTCTGAAGGAGGTCTTCAGACTTCTGCAATCTCTGTAGTTATTTAACAGTGTTGTGTACTTTATCCTGCCTCTGACTCCTGCTAAGAAGATGTGCATTTGACTTCTTCCTATTAGACTCATGAACAGTATAGGAAAAATGTCAAATTTACGACTATAAGATTCATTTAGTTGGGTACACAATCATTCATCTTAATTATGTCTGACACCTTCACCATTATAAAATCAGTTTCCCAGAAGAAGAGAAACTCACACTCTGTCTCCTTTAGGAATCCTTCATTGAAGGAGACTAGTTATTTCAGTCCTCTGAGGAAGCTAATAGTGTAGTCGAAGGATCATAAAAAAAAAGAATAATGGCTCATATTCATCAAGAACAGGGAAATACTACACTGCCATGCCTGGTAACCATAACTCCTAACACTGCTTTTTTGGAGGGTAGTAGATTATAGTACATAAGATTTTGAAGCAGGAAATGTATAAACTTCCAACAAAGGCAATTCTTTTATATCTTTTTTGCCTTCATTGAAATAAATGATAGCTTGTCACTGAACTCTGTAAGAAACTATATTAGGTAATTTTTTTTATTTTCCATGAGGCATATTTTATTTATATTATGCAAAGGTAAAGAGATAATGAAACCACTAAAAAAGCCACTCTAAGCATCTTGATCATCTGCATATGCTAGTTGTAAACAAATTAAGATACTTTAACATATGTATGTGAAAAAATACATTTTTACTTTGATAAAAAAATAATTATATAAAAATAAAACCATTATTATTTGAAGGATCAGTAATGTAGAATTTTCACGTTGTATTACTTAGAGAATGAATATTTCACTATTCACAAAAGGATAAGTAAAACTGTTAAGTCAGGTACCATAATAGATAAGGCATTAAACATGATCTCTATTTTTCAAATGGTCTTTTCCTCTCAAAGATAATAATAGAAAAAGATGTAAGAACTTAATTTTAAAATTCCGCAATTTGTGGAGGATAGAAGTTCAAATGAAAAATTGAATCTTAATAAATACTCTTATATAGCTACATACATAGTATTTATAACCATTAGACTACAAAGTCTCTGTAAATGTAGCACATCCCTCAAAACTGCTTCAACAAAAAACAGCATTCAGAAGAGTACTAGGGTTAGGCTATAAAAAGGTTACCTTTATTTACTGTCCTCAATTCAGGGGAGACCATTGCTGAATCTATACCTTGCAGAGACCATCCTAAACTAAAAGAAAAAATGTATCCTGCTTTTATCTTTCTCTGTTTAATATTTCTGCAGAATGAAAGCTTGACTAATTTATTCAGGAAGATAAGTGTAAATGAGAAGCAAATACTTTTGATTATTAAGAGACGGAGTGCTTCCAAAACGACAGGAAGTTGAATCTGAATATGCCTCAGTACCCCGTGAGTAGATTAACCATTTTTCATTCTGTCCATTATCTCTATGGTTTTTTGAGGCAAGGACCTTCTATCAATATGTAAACAAAGTAAAGTAAAATAGCTCGATTTGAGGAAAAATCTTTGTAGTAGGATTGAGAATGATGACGATGATGCAGCTAAGACAGAGGCTCTGAACAGATTCAGTGCCCTAATATAGACAACTGTAATCAGAGGATTGGGCTACATTTCAGTAACAGTGATGGCATAGTAGTTGCCAGTGAGCTCGTAACTGCTTCATTACCCATGCTTGACCCCTTGTGATGAATATGCTGAGCCATTGTCAGATGACAGATTCAAATGGCAAGGGAACAAGCAAATTAATTACTTTCCTAAATTATATTTATCATCAGAATTGTGATGAAAAATAAAAAGTGCCACTGGGGTTGAAAAAACCCAAACTAAGTGCCAAATTCTGATCTACTGTCAATTGAATTGCTCTGGCTTCATAGTGAACTGAAGTGAGAATTTTTCCTCAGGCATTTAGAAATTCAAAAATTTGACTTTCTTCACACATGACAATTGTAGTCAATAGCTCTATTGTGATGTGCAAAACATTAATTCTAAAGATAGGCTTATTTAATGAGCACTTACCTGGTTGGTTTTTCTTGAACTCAAAATAAAGCTTCATTCAAGCAGTGCCAAAACATTTAGATAGCTCTGAATTAATTTTACATTTTCTTTTAAAATGATCTAACTTAGAAAAAACATATATTTTAAATACTTTCCCAATTAAATGAGATTTTTCCTGATTATTAAAAAGTTTACATTTAACTGTACTAATCTTTCCATAAGTGAGTAACTTGGTGTACTTACTTCAGTTTTAGTATCAAACTTAAAATGTCTACTATTGCATCTGCTTCCAGTGGTCAATTGGTACTTGAATGGCTAATATGCAAATTAACAAGAAGTAAATCTTATCCTTAAGCTGTTCAAGAAGATTTGAAATCCTCAAAAAAGCCCCCAACAAACCAGAAAAACAACTAAAACCCAAAACTCAAACGAGCATATAATAAATAATCAGAAAATTTTTGTCAAGAATTAGTCTGGTTGGAAATAGTAACTTTAAGAAGTTATGGACAGGCAAGTGATTGTATGTAAACTGCTGAAATCTAGAATATTATCAAGCTAAATCTAAAAGTGTTCTCTAACTATGTCCTGATCCTCTGTCTAAAATATATAAGCTCCATTTCATCCTCTTCTGCATGGGCAAACCCAGGTTCCTATGAAAGGAAAAGTCTGACAGAAAGTCAGTTCTGTTACATCCAGCTTATTCCCCAAAATAAATGACCACAAGTACTATTCAGAGAAAAACAGTAGTGTAGGTAGTAAATTTACCTTTCTTCACTGGCATTACATGAATTCAGGACAACTCCTTTAGATGACTTCAGTGGGACTAAAGTTGAGTGAGATGTGTTATATGTAGATGTTCGGTTTGTAGCTGGTTCAAGACACAGGAAGTTTATTCTCCTCTTCACTTTTTTAAGCTCCAGTTTCCCATCTCTCTACTGTCTTTTGTCTTTATATTACCATCTATTAAAGACAAAGTTCATTTTATTGCATATTAACACAGTACATGGAAAGAATCAGGTCTCAATCTTGATAAAGACCTTGGTGCACAACAGTTCAAAGATTGATTAAACAAAAGTAAACAAAGTAACAAAGCTTAGCTTTTGATTACCAAATAGCCCACCAAAAAGTGCATGTTCAAAATGCAAGTTTTTATTGACAAGAAATTCAACAATGCACTAGACAGCTTAATTCTTGTTTTCTCAATTTGTAAGAAATTGAACCTGCCAAGATTTAATTACATGTATAGCTTAACACCTCCTGCAGACACTCTACTTCTTTCTAATGAATCAGAGGACACTTAGCATATGCTACCCTGTGTGTCAAAGCTGGTGTCTCTTTTGTCTTTCTTCTGCCTCATAGAGTATAGATTAACTTGGCTTTGCTCTTTAAAAGACTAGAGCAAAAGTGATCCAGAGAGATGGTCTGTGATTTACTTTGACATCAGAGAGGAAAATGTGCATTTGCAAATACACTGGTGATGATTCATGTACCTTTAGATTAATAATACCTTGCATATTGCAAGCTGTTAGAAATCTGAAACCCAAAAAAATATTTGCGAAACAATTCTCCACTAGAAAGTGTAATAAAATCTTAAATGTAACTTTGATTCTATCTAGTCGGAGATTCAAATTATGTCTCTGCGCTGAGGCTCCTGAAGGTTCCATTAAGGTTTCACTTCACCTAATAATGTCATGTTATGTATTAAACTTTAATTGTGGCTCTCTTAAAGCTTGCATGCTCCAGTTATGGAGTTAAGAATATTTTTTTTTGTTATAGGTAGGAAATGTACTACACAAATACAAAGGCAGCTCCTCTGAGAACAGGTTCGATGAGACGTGCAATGATGCACAGGTAAAATGTAAAACTAATGCATACTAGGCAATTTAGTAGATGAAGAACAGAAGTAGTTGCTATGTGCACAAATATAGAATAGGGGAAGAAATCAGCATGGTTTTTGGAAAATTAATTCTTGCATTACGTACCTTGCCAAGCGGTCAACAAGTTTGTTGATAGGGTCAATCCCATTGAAATGTATTGTTAGATTACCAAAAGCCTTTTGACAGGGAAATAATCTCAGAAAAACTTTAGATGAGAATGAAAGTCCTCGCACGGTTAAGAAATAGAATCTATAGGTAAGTGATCAATTTTCATAGTGGAGAGAGTTCACATGGGAGATCCACACCAAGCTGTGCAAGATATGCTGATGTGACCTTTGACAACAGCGAAATGACAAATTTTCTGATATTACCGTGTTATTCATTATAGCAAGTACAAGAACTGTCTGTGAATAATTGTCAAAAGTCCTTACAATACTGGTGGGCAATAAATTTATTAAAACTAAATATATAAATAAATAAGCATATCATGTTGCATAAAGAATTATGTGTTCTGAACTGACCACTGTGATTCAGTGTGAAATCTGGGGGTTAAGATAAATTGTTCCATATGAATGTTTGTTCAGTATTTATTAGCAGTAGAAAACACGTAAACCATCATAATGTCAAGGATTATTTGAAAGTAATAGAGAACTATTATACTAGACTATAAAGAATTGGGTCACTATACGAATGTATATGCTGGATCCCTAAATGTCAGAAAAGTATATTGCAATGGAAAGCTTCAGAAAAAGGGAAATAAAGGAAATGCATGAAATCAGTCTGTGTGAGGAATGAATAAGCCACAGCTAAACAAACTTGGGCTCTTCATTATAAGCAAAATATGAGTAAAGGAGAACTTGACAGAGGTTTATAGGATCAAGAGGGGCATGGAAAATATGGACAAGGGAGCGAGGAGGATATGGATTGATTTTCTGTTGTTTTTTTCAACAAAGGATTGAAGAGACATTAGGTGAAGCCAGGAGGACACAGGTTAAAACAGAAGAACATGATGCTTCAAGCAATGGGTTATCAATCTGTCTTTAGTCTAGGAAACTGTAACTGTTAAAAGTTTAACAAGTTTGGCAGAGACTGACAATTAAGGAAGAAAAATCACAGAATCTCTGAGGCTGGAAGGAATCCCTGGATATTATCTAGTTTAACATCCTTGCTCAGTCATGGTCAGCTATCATAAGTTGCTCCGTGTCTCCACAAATGAAGCCTCCAGAACCTCTTTGGGCAGTCTGTTCCTGTTTGATCACCCTCACAGTATTTTCTTTTTCTTACACTTAAATGGAATTAAATATCTGATCATTGTGTGTTGTCCCGTCACTGAACAACCCCGAGGAGAGTTTGGATCCATCTTTTTTACCTCCTCCCAGCACATATTTACACACATTGATAAGAATGTATATGAATGACATCTTGTGAGACACTGAAATGGTTTATGACTTAAACATTGTTAAAATCACTGAAGGACTTTTGTCCACTGTAGCAGACTGTGCAAAGAAGCAACTGCTCACCAAGGCCTAGCCCTCCCTGAACATCCCTACTAATTTGGACTGTGATAGGAACTTGAGATAAGATAAAGGTACTATGCCCAATTATCCTAGGAGAAGAATGCATCCACAAGTGTGAAAGACTGGAATGCTGATGTCTCTAACAATCAAGGTGCAAACTGAAAATGTGCAAAGTAACTGCCCAGGTGCTGAAGGTGTGCACACCAGACACCTCAGGCTACCAGCTGGGTATTGATCAAGATAAGGAAAGAAGCAAATCCTTCGAGGTGGGGTAGTGTTTCTTTTTCCTTACAGGAGTGATTCATCTGTGATAACTCCCCTCTGGGGAAGCATTGTGACAATTCACATATAGCCTGAAGATGTTAATCTCTGCTGATAGGCCATAAGGAACTCAAGGCTGATGTAACAGGCAGCTGTAACATCTTAGAAAGTGTCAGAGACTCATGACATATCCTGTGATCCAGTATTACATCATCCCTTGTAAAACTCCCTACTCCAGGGGTGGCACCAGAGGCATTTCTACCTAGCCTAAGCCAAATAAAAGACACAACAGACTGCTCAACATACTTGGATTTCCCCTACCATGGGCTTCTTCTTTCACACACACGGACTTCTTCCATTACCACACAGGACTTCCTTCACCAACATGGGCTTCTTCCCTCACTACACTGGGCTTCCCTCAACAGATCCAGACTGCAACTATCACTTTGACAAGAATGGGATTCTCACCACCAAGAAGACCAGAAGAATAGAATCAACAGGACGCCATCAGAATCCAAGGATGTTGATATAATTTCTTCCTAATCTGTCTCTCTGTCACTCTCTTTGTGTCCCCCCCTGTCTCTTTCTCCTATTTCTTTCTATCTCTCTCTACCTTGCATTTACTGTTAAATAAAAATCCATACTATCGACTTTGGCATATGGCCTCATTTGCACCTTAATTTGGGCAGAGGCATCTCTCTAATAATTTTAAAGAACCTGACCTTAACACATCTGTCAGAACAACTGTGTGTGTGAGGGAGCAGCCCACCACAGCAATATAACTTACGATACTGATGCATGATGATCACATAGTGCTAACAGGAGGTCAAAAGTTTACTTAGCACTCTGCCCAAGAATTTCTGTACAGGCTATAGAACAAACTTGATTCATTTACCCACATGTCAGTGTTAATTGGCATTTGGGATGTTATAGGACATTAGAGATATCAGGAAAGCTAAAAAACGTGACTTGGAATTGATGGGAGAACTGTTCCCTTGTGAATCATATAATCATAGAATCATCTGGGTTGGAAGGGACCTCCGAGATTATCATGAAGCAGAACCTGAAGGCCAGGCAGACTATCTTAGGTATCTCAAAAGTAATTAGACAACTGTATGTGGGCTGCTGAGTCATCACAGATGAATTCATCCTCAATTTATGTGTTTTCTGGCATCAGTCCTTGTCTTTCATAATACTTCTTCTATATTACATAACATTATAAAATAAAATTTATACTAAGTGGAAAAAACCAGCTTCTTTATTATCTTGACTGACAGAGCAACAAACTCATTGGTGAAAGGAAACTTTATAATTGAAAGGCTTCTAATTTCTTTGGAGAATGCTTGCTTTTGTTTGGATAAAAATGCCCAAAAAAGTAATTTGTGTTATTGTTAAGGTCTTTCTTCTAGTTTAGACTGTGAGAGAAGTTTCAACACGTACCTGTATGAGTCCTAATTCAGAAGAAATCATTAAATAGTTTTGTCGCCAATACAGACTTCAACAGTCATCAATCAGGCTCATGAAATGACAAAGTAACTGTGTCCACTGTGATGCTTACAGATTAGCTTACAATTTAGGGGTTTTTTTATGAGTGATTCCTATTTTATCAGGATAAGGACTACTGGATTTTGTGTGTCATCTCCAGTATTTTTCTTTGGTTTTCTTTTATATCCAAGTAAGTTGTTTCAATCCAGACATAAAAAATGCCAATGCTCTCCATATTTTCATCTCATATTTTGCAAATGTAACACATTAATTTATTAGGCTTGTGCTTATTTAATTTCCTATTCTTCTTCATTACCTCAATACTTCTCTGCACGTAAGCTTTCATTTTTAGGAACTACAAAATAGTTTTATGAAATGCTATAGGGACACAGTATTGAACAGAAATGCCTTAGTTTGCAGAAAAATGAGTAATTCCATTCTGCTTTGTAAAGACTAATCTGAATATGCCCACTCCTGACCTTGTCTATATGCATTACTTAAGTTTATATTGAATTGCCACAGCTAGCTACCTGATTGTTCTTCAGGGGAGAAATGCTTGTTGTCAGAACCTTGAACAAAATCATAATAAAAGCAAATAAATGGATTATGTAAATCTCAGCATGCTACTTCATCTCTTTGCTTGCTTTGAGTCAGTTCATAAAACATTTCAGACTAACCAGAGATAATTAGTTATATTTGTTATTATTTCTGTAATGCAGTGAGAATATGCAAGAACAAAAGAAGGGAAAAAACCCCAAACAACTCCCTTCCACATGCTCAAGTTTAGAAATCTCAGATTTGTTTGGAATGGTGCATACATGTGCTGACATTGTTATAACACAACATCTGCACTATGGAACCTCTGTATAATCCGTGAAACAAGACTGGTATGTAATTGAAGGGTATAAACATGACAGTAGGAAAGAGAAGAGATTGTTTTGGTGTAAATTGGATAATCTTGAACAAAGGAAAGTGTAGACTGATTATAAGGAAACATTCCAGAACACACGAAACCTTTTCAGAATGCAAAATAGCCTGTCTAGACAGGTGGCACCTGCTCTATATTTGAGCTTTTAAAAGCTAACTTGAGCAAAACATTCATAACACACACTTTAAAGAAACCAGTGATAGCAGGAAGATGGAGAAGTCAGTTAGAGGTTAGAAAACAGTACTTGGTTAGTTCCAATGCCAATATATTCGAAATGGAAAGTCTCCTTCCTGAGAGAGTACAATAAAAAAGAACACATGGGACAGGAACCTCAGCTGCTAGGTTGCTGTGTCAGTAGTCACTGTACCTATGCAAAACCACATCCTGAGAAAAAAACTCAGAAAGTCTTGATTTCAATCATTCCACCATGATTCCATATTTTAGCACTTTCCATAAATTTGACTGCACTGAAGACAATGTGAAAAAAGAAAGAAGAAAATCCCCACCCAAATAAAAACAAACAAAACCAAGCCTTCATTGGTTTTACCTGTCTTGTGTCCTTCCTGAGATGCTGGAACAGCAAAACATGCCTGCACTTCTTCTCTGTTGATTTCAGTGATCTGACTTTTGATTTTAAGGTTAGCTGCCCATCATCATTTAAATATATTTCTCATTACCATTTCAATCATATTAAAACAATCCTGCTGACTGGATATTTTGATATTATTTAGTACAAGTCCCCTGGGATACAGTAAGTAGAAGTGGGAGCGTGAAGTCTATTTTTAGAGTACATTTTCTATATGAGTCACTTCACTTTGTGTCACAAAATTTATAAAATAACATTTATATTTTACCTGCTTTTGGGGAGGTCAAAGTATCAGAATTCTTTATTACCTATCCTGTTACTTAAAAAGTATTAGATTTTTTAGATAATATGACAAAATTCTTTTCTTTCACCTCAATAAAAGAAAAAGGAAAAACTCAATGAAATCTTTATTTAATTTTAATCATGAAAAATCCTTTATTTGAATAAAGCTGCTTCTGCCTGTTACAAACCAGACTCAAATGAAAATGACAAGTAGTAGGCAAATTATACCATTCAACAATTTAGTAAGAAGATCATAAGTTATTTCACAAGAGGAAATGGTGAATATGGTGTTACTTTGGAGATTATCATTTTATATTATTATCACATAGTCACATCTCTTTTTTCAAATTACTTATTAGAAAAAATGTAAAAATGTTCCTTCTTAACTCAGTCTTTTGCTAGTCAGGATTGTGTAATCCAGTGCTAGATTTTGAAATCTGTGATCAAAACCAGGCTAATATCAATCAATTAATAAATTTAAATATTTATAAATCATCAAAATTTTCTTTGTATATATAATCTAATCTACTGTAGAGAAGAAATGATAGCAATTTTTTCTAATTATATAGATCTTAAAGAGAAGAAATATAAAATATATTTAAATATTTGAGTTAAAAAAGTTTTAGAATAGAAATATAAAAACCACTATAAAGCCAGATTTAATACAATCTCAAAATTGTTTTACTCAATTTCAACTTTCATTTAAATGTTGAATTGTGTTGGATTCCAAATTTTGGATATGAGAAAAAGAAAAACTGCTAAGTCTAAACAAAAGCTTTGGGCTGACAGAGACTGGGAAAAACCTTCCATCTACAGTCCCAGCAAGGATCCATTGATGTCAAGGATTTGGAATGTCCTGCCCAAGCCTGGAGAAACCATGCCCTGATCTCATCAAACCTGTGTAGAAAACCTTTTGTGTTTTATCTCTCCCTTTGTGTGTTACCTGTTCCCCCCTGTGAAATCCCCCCAGATAAAGTGGGTTTTCCCATATGATGTAAGTTCTTAGACCCAAAAGTTTGTAATTTAGGATTTCCACTTTACCTCATCTCTGTAAAGTCCCCAATTGTAATGGAATGAATACCTCCCCACACACACTGAATATGTAAACCTCTTGTTAAATATGTAAATCCTAAACCTTTTATATATCAACTTGTGAGTCCAATAAAGTATTTCAGTTTCTTGCCTCCAAACTGGGATTGTGATAGCTTATTGACTTGCTACAGAATTGTATTCATGACCTGCTTTTAAAGCAAATATAAGTGCATTTAAAAATAGACAAGAGAAAAAGAATTCTTAACTGATGATCAGTGTTTGTACTTACTGACCACTGTGCCAACTTTAGCTTATTATTATTATAATTGATTTTATAACAATGAAAATGAAAATGCAAGAGCTAGAAATAGGCCTTGCATATACAGAGCTTATTAAAGTAACTATTTCTTTCTGTTATGTGGATATCAAACATTAAAAAAAAAGCAATAATTCACTTCTAAAATGTATTCACAGAATATTTAGGGTTGGAAAGGACCCCTGAAAATCATCTAATCCAAGCTCCCTGCCAAGGCAGGGACACCTAGAGCAGGTTACACAGGAACACCTCCAGAGAGGGAGACTTCGTGACCTCCCTGGGCAGCCTGTTCCAGTGCTCAGCCACCATCAATGTAAAGAAGTTCTTCATATTGAGGTGGAACTTCTCATGTTTTAGTTTATGGTCATTACTCCTTGTTCTGTTATTGGGCACCACTGGAAAAAGTCTGGCACCATCCTCTTGGAACCCTCCTTTGAGATATTTATATGTATTAATGAGA